TTTAGTATTTCCTAAAGAATGTTCCGAAAAGGAACAAATAAAATCACGAATTACCTTCATTACGACGTGCGGCTTGCAACGCAGACAGCGAGGGGAGGAGTAGCTGAGAGGTGAAGGGGCAGCCAGCCTCTTCCCAGGAAAGCAGGTGGGTCTCCAACCGGCTTCCTCGGAACTCGGCCACCGCAGGGCTTGCCTAGTCTAAGCCACCTCGGGGCCAGCCTGAGCAAGCCCACCTCCAACGTCAGTGGTGGCTCCCCCATCCAGAGGGGAAGCCAAGTTAACCGACGGCATTCTCGATGGGAAGTTCTCTGGGGCTAGCCAGTGGTGTGGACAGTAAGGTGGCTGGATCCCACACGGCCAACTGCGAGGCTCGAGTTCAGGCCTGGTGGACTGAAAAACGCGGAGTGCGTGCGTGGGCATGGCCAAACCCCCGAGGAGGGAGAAGGGACTGCAGTGTGGCCGTCTCCCCTGGGGGTGCTTCCTCACTTTCTCGCACCATCTAGCCAGCGGGTGCACGTGCCCTATAGCATAAGTAAGTCTTCCTTAGACCCGAGCCCTGGCAGACCAGAGTAACTAGAAAGAGGAAGGAAACCTGGGGGCGGCCGAGTGTACCCACAGCCTTCCACGGGCCCTGGTTTCTCACTGCGTGGTCCGACCCACGCCTGGTAAAACTGTTGCTGCTTCATGTGACCCCAGGAGCAATCCCGTCTGCACCTGCTCACGGCGTCTGGACCTGCCTCGCAGGGGCTCCCCGCCTGCTGGCCGCCAGCAGCTCTGCTTGGAGGGAGATCCTCCTGCAGGCCCTCCAGATGACCTCTGACCCCGAGCCCCAGCACAGTGGGCGGCAGAACCCACGTGACCGGGCGAGAGCGGAGGGGGCGCAGCACGCGGGCTTCCCGCCTCCTTTCCCAGGGAGACACGAAGATGAGGCTCGGCAGAAAACGAGTCCTCATCGAAGAATCCCCAGAATGGCCTTTGCCAAGCAGGCGGTGCCAGCTGAGGCAGCCCTCACCCTCACCCCAGGCTGACGCCCTGGAGCCCACCCGCAGAGCCCAGGCCCTGCTTCCAACACGCCCTCCCAGGGGCGCAGCCCTCGCGGCACGTGAGCTCGGCTGGAGGCTCCCGGCCCTGGGTGCGGTGCCCTCTGAGCTCTGGACACGGCTGCATCCGAAACGCAGAGCTTGGCTCGGGGTTTGGGGTAAAGAAGGAAAAGCAAGCGGAAGCCGGCTTGGAAGGCGACCACGGGCTGCCCATGCGGAGGCCTGGCGGTGCTGGGAGGACGCTAGTCCCCAGGCCTGCGGGAGGGGCTGCGGGCGGGCCCCCCTGGCTGTCGGTTCTGGCGGTGGGAACCACGTCGGGGACCGCCGGGCTGGTGCTGCCTCCCAGCCCTGGAGGGCACGGCTCGCCTGGACACTAGGACTGGGTGACACGCCAAGACACAGCACACGTTTTTAAATAACTTTATAATTCCTGATGGATTTAGTTCGTGAATAAAAAAGAAAACATGAACAAAGTGTTTACAATAATTATCAAGGCAAATTGAGTATGACACGAGTTCTCTGTAACGTCTTATCCTGTCGGTGAACACGACACCAGCAACGACACACACGAGGAAGGCCGCGTCGCGCTCGGCCAGCGCCCCGTGTCCGCGGCTGTTACCCAAAGGAACTCAAGCTACGGGAGCAGCGCTTCTCGGCAGCTGGGAGCGGGCCTGGTCCCCCTGTGGCCGCCCGGGAGGCTGTGGCCGCAGCAGGTG